AGACTGTCCTTGCTCCAGGAATTAGTTTTAGATCCTTGATCAAATATAAGTTGGCTGTAGATGTTTGGGTTGATTTCTTTTGATTGGTTGATTTTTTTTTTTTTTTTTTTGACAGGCAGAGTGGACAGTGAGAGAGAGAGAGAGAGAGAGAGAGAGAGAAAGGTCTTCCTTTGCCATTGGTTCATCCTCCAATGTCCGCCACGGCTGGAGCACTGCGCTGATCCAATGGCAGGAGCCAGCTACTTCTCCTGGTCTCCCATGGGGTGCAGGGCCCAAGCACTTGGGCCATCCTCCACTGCACTCCCAGGCCACAGCAGAGAGCTGGCCTGGAAGAGGGGCAACCGGGACAGAATCTGGCGCCCCGACTGGGACTAGAACCTGGTGTGCGGGCACCGCAAGGCGGAGGATTAGCCTAATGGCGCCAGCCCTGAATCCAAATATTTCTAGGGCTTGATGGAATTCCTAGCACACAACCAAATTTCAATTTGATAAGATTTAAAATAGGTGGAAGGAAAATAGTGAAGGCTTTAAGTGATGAATTGTCAGGATTGGTTTTTATTCTGTAGGCAATGGTAATTTTGCAAGGTCTTTGAGGAGAAAAGTTATGTTGTCACATTCTTTGAGAATGTAAATTCTGGGGCAGTAGGTTTGGTGCAGTGATTGCAAAGTGCTGTGCAATTCGTCAGCATCTCTCACTCAGGAATTTGTCATATGAAAAAATTCTTGGGTCCCACCCCAGAGTCACTGATTCATAAACTCTGAAGATGAATCTCAGTAAATTTTATGTTTGATGAGACCCAAAATTAGAAAACTGCTGGTTTGGAGAAGAAACAGAGAGCAATGTGAATTATCAAGGGCCTGAGATAGGGTCAAGGAGGTGGGGTGGAGTAGGGCATATGGAGGGAATGTGTAATAAGTTATTGTATGAGTTCACACATTTATTTTCTTCTTTTTGATAACTAATGGCTTACTTTAAGATATGCAATCCTGGTGCTGTCTCTGAAGCTTCTTATTCACTTATTTATTCCACAGACGCTTACTGGGCCGGGGGTCATTTGGTATTATCTACAAAAGCATAGACTAGTCTCTTTCTGATCACAAGATTCTGTTAGACCACTTCCTTCAAGATCCTGGTAGATAAAAACTGAACACTTTGAGTCATAAGTGGCAGACAGAGGAGTTCTCTGAAGTCACTCCTCCTGTGAACAGGAATACTTTTAACAGGAAAACTGACATTTGCGTTACCGAGAGGCTTCAGAATCTTCCTGTCAGTTTCAGTTGACCCAACAGGCAGTCAGCGGTCTTGGGGGTTAACTTAGATATGCAGTGCCTCTCTCAGTAGCTCACTTTTAGAAAACATTTTTGTATGATCCTGAGCAGAGAGAATTAGGCATTTGGCATAGTGGTTAATACCACTTGGGAAGCTGCATCTTGTATTGGAGTGCCTGGGTTTGAGTTCCCATTCCATTCCCAATTGCAGCTCTTGCTAATATGAAACCTGGTAGGCTTCACATGATGGCTTAAGTAGATTCCCTGCCACCCATGTAGGGGACTTGAATGAATTCTAGGCTCTTGACTTTAGCAGATAGAAGATCGCTTCTCTTTCAAATAAGTAAAATATACAAAATTGAAAAAAATTAATAGGAGAGTCATGGACATACATGCAGTGAATGTTAGGAGTAACAGAATTGTCCATTGTAAGTTAGAGAAAGCAACTAATTGATTTAGGTTGCATGGAATTTATTCAAAGGGCAGAGAACATCCAAAAAGCTGTGAAACCAAGCAGAAAAAAAGCAGTTAATCAGTTACCAGATTCATAGTCACAGAGCAATGAGTACTCAATGGCTAATGTCAGTTTACCCATTGAGTTCACTGGATCCTTGACAATGTTTCTATTGACAGTTATACATGGATGCTATCAACATGCTGCTCTCCTATACAATATCTTTGCTTCACTACTCAGGGTGGAGTGCCCCAGATGCAAAGGAGGTTGGGATAGCAAATTGTGATTCTAGAGGTGTAGGTGGGTGATGTCATCCAAATTTCAGAATGGAACTCAGAATAGCAAACCAAACAAATAGCACCCCCCCACCCCCAACCAAGTTAAACAAGAAAGAAAAACCATTGAAGACATTTGGAAGTCATGCGGAATTTTTAGGACAGAAGTGACCTGAAACATTATTTAGAACAGATTTCCCCCAAGTAAAACCTTTTAAAAGCTATTTATGAACCTAGAATATCATTAAATAAATTACATGAAGAAGGGATCTCTCTGTACAGCTTCCCCTTCTGTTCTATCCAACACAATTCCTCATCTACTTGCCAGCTTTTAAGACACCTGCAAAGAATTCTGGGTCCTGTAATGACATTAAAAAATGAGAGTAAGCAAACCATTTTGCCAAGTTTGAAAATTCCCGAGAAGGCAGAGAAACTGAGCAAGAACAAAGTTTAGTAAATTCAAGCTTAGAAAACTTAAGTTTCCCTTAAGATCATAAAGTAGTTAAAGCCCAATAGGAGAATTTCATTTGTGGTCTGGTACTCTTTCCAACACTTTCCAAACCAGATTTCCTGGGTCTCCATTTTCTCTCCTGACAAACAAAGTATGATTTAGACTTAGACTCTAAAGAAATTTCCTAGGATGATTAATATTTAGAACACTCCATTAATGGTTTCAACTCTCAAAACTTCCTGCCATCTGATCAGCGCGGTGCACCGGCCACAGCGCGCTGGCCACGGCGGCCATTGGAGGGTGAACCAACGGCAAAGGAAGACCTTTCTCTCTGTCTCTCTCTCTCACTATCCACTCTGCCTGTCTAATCAATAAAAAAAAAAAAAAACCCTTCCTTATTTTGTAACATGTCTCTGATCTTTTGTGCAGTTGTGTTTCCTAGTTTTAAATTATTACCACTAAAAACAGCACATAAATTACTTTAAAAGTCATTCATGGAAAAAAATGGCACTATTAAGATTCATAATGCTAACCAAATTGGCACTGAATACTCTTTTATACCTATTTTCATTATTTTAAAAACCAATTTAAAAATTTATAGCAGCTTTATTCATTGCCACAAACTGGAAACTCAAATGGAAACTCAAAAGTCTGACAGGTGAAAGGAGATACAAATTACAATATAATCATACAATAGAACACTAGTCAGGAAAAGGGGGAATGAACTATTGGTTCTTGAACTACCATGAATTTCCAAAGTGTCCAGTTAAGTGAAAAAGCCAAACTCGCAAGTGTATATATACTGTAAGGACATATTTCTATAACGCTCTAAAGTAGACACATAAAAATTACAATGAGAGAGATCAGAACAATGCATGAAAGGAAGATGGGAAGAGATGAGATTTGGAATGGGGCCAAAGTTTGTCAAGACTCCAATATACCTAGAACCATTTAATGTATATAAATTATACCTCAATTCTTTTTTAAAATTGTACCATGACTTTCAAGGCATTTTTTTTAAATTTAATTTTATTTGAAAGGCAGAGACAGGTAGAGATCTTCCATATGCTGGTTCAATCCCCAAACGCGTGAAATAGCAGGGGCTAGGCCAGGACGAAGCCAGGAATCAGAAACTCAATCCAGGTTTTCCACAGGGAGGGAGAGATCCAAATAACTTGAGCTGTCACCCGCTGTCTCCTAGGGTGCATTTTAGTAGGCAACTGGATTGTAAATAGAAGTGCTGGGACTTGAATGTGGCACACTGATATGGGATGTAGGCATCCCAAGCTGTCTTTATGATTTTTATTATTTTTTTAATTTTAGGGGCTGGCGCTGTGTTGCAGAGGTTAAAGCCCTGGTCTGCAGTGCTGGCATCCCATATGGGAGCTGCTCCACTTCTGATCCAGGTCTCTGCTATGGTCTTAGAAAGCAGTGGAAGATGGCCCAAATTCTTGGGCCCCTGCACCACATGGGAGACCCTGAAGTTCAAGGTTCCTGGTTGTGGATCGTTCCAGCTCCAGCTGTTGCGGTCATCCGGGGAGTGAACTAGCAGATGGAAGACTTCTCTCTCTGCCTCTACCTCTCTGTAACTCTGCCTTTCAAATAAATATGTAAATCTTGGAAAAAAATTTTAATTAGTTTTAAATAGACTCAATACAGGTCATAGATAGAATTTTGAGAGTATGATATTCTGGCAGAGGTCCTAAATAGCACTCTGGCCTCAGAATCAGCCCTTAAGGCATTCGGATCTGGCTGAAGAGCCCATGAAAGTATTTTAGGCATGGAAAGCCAAGACACTCTGGGGGAAAAAAAAAAAAAAAAACACCTAAATGAAAGATCTCTGTGAGTGAGATCCCAGTGGAAAGAATGGGGCCATCAAAGAAGGAGGTACCTTTCTCTGAAGGGAGGAGAACTTCCACTTTGACTATGACCCTGTCGGAATAAGATCAAAGTCGGTGAACCCAAAAGGCTTCCATAGCCTTGGCAACTCATGACTAGAGCCTAGGGAGATTACTGACGCCATAAACAAGAGTGTCAAACTGTTAAGTCAACAACAGGAGTCACTGTGTACTTACTTCTCATGTGGGATCTGTCCTTAATGTGTTGTCCAATGTGAACTAATGCTGTAACTAGTACTGAAACAGTATTTTTACACTTTGTGTTTCTGCGTGGGTGCAAACTGATGAAATCTTTACTTAATATATACTGAATCAATCTTCTATATATAAAGATAATTGAAAATGAAAAAAAAAAAAAGAGTATGATATTCTCAAGTTGTGTCTTAACTACTCACCAAACCTGCTCTATACCCCTATTTAAAAAGGCACACACATCAATTGAGTCACCAGGATCTTATTTCTTGCTTCTGGAGTTCTGGGACACAGGAAATATTAAGAATCAAAGATAATGTAAGATTCTCATAAAAATGACTATGGTAAGAAATTATAAGGTAATTCTAAGCACAGACTCTCTAAGCCCATAAAACAAAACCTTTGGTTACATAGGCTAACCACTGAACAGGACAGGTATTTTTAAAAACATCCACCGAAACTAGCAGATACCAAAATATTTATTTTATTTTTGTAAAATTAAAAATGGTAAACAAGCTTATATAGTTACACTTCCAAAGCAGAGAGATACAAATATATAAATTATTGCAGTTTTCAAAGAAAATATAACAGCCAAATGATGTCTAAATAAACTTTTTTGAAATAAATTTTTTTAAACCATGGCGGTTTTGTTTTCTTTTTCTGAAGTCTTAGCACAATTTTGTAAAAGAAATTTCTAACACCAAAGAGAGGTTAAATTAAATGACCATAGCATATGCTACTCAGATTTAAAACAAGATTAATACAGAAACATAAAAGTAGGAATGGCATTTGTAACAGAAATCACCACTAAATACTTTCTAAACTGCCTCTTTTGGAGGTAGCAAGGAGGAAAAAAAAGCCACTTATTAATGTAGCCATGTTTAAAGTGAGTAAGAAACCACCACTTATTAAAATTCCCTCTGCTTTAGGTGCAGTTGAGGGAAGTTTCACTACTTTTTTGGAAGAGGGGCAGTAGTCATCTCCATGTTTTTTGTTTCTACCTTGTTAGAATTAAAGTTGTGAAACAATTCAAAATGACTAAAATGCATCAGTAATGTGGACTCTTTTAAGCTAAAAATAATAAGAAAGTTTGTATTACAATCTAGGTGTTAAAAAGCTGTTAATGCTACAGAAATGCTGTAGCATGGTTCAGATCAAATTAACCACAGCCCAAAGGTGCTTACCACATTAGACTGAACTGTGACATAGCCATAACAATATCAACCATGAAAGGATGAAGGGAAATGAAAGTACTGAGACACAGAAGAGCGTTGATATTCCAGACAGCATTAGCCCCTCCTCTAGGAAAGCTTTGCTTTTACCAGAGCCTTTATTATCATGGTAAATAAACTCTTTTCTATGCCATCACCATAAAACTTAACTTGGCAAGAAAAACCTGTTGAGGTAAGTGTGTTATCTTGTACTGGTTTTCATCACACATTTCCTCAAATAATTATTCCCATCAATCTCAAGTTAAAATTGCAATCTAAAAATACTGAAATGAAATTATCTTTCCCTTACAGCCAGGTTGACAAAGGTATTTAAAATTTTTTCATAGAACATTCAGCTCCTTAAGTACTTAAAATACTCAAATATCTTATTTTATTGTAAGTAATAACAACATTTGTCAGTAAATGAACTGACACAAGTCAGGAAAAATAACACTACAAGAACTTTCCAATATAGTATTTAAAATTTTTCAAGAACATGTAAACCGACTTTTATGGTTACTAACCTGAACCTCCTAAAAAGCTATACAAATAATTTATTATTCAAAAATTCCTATGTAAGTCTAGAGCATATACATTTTGTATTACATTTTACAACATTAATATTGAAAGATTTCTTCCAAAATACAACCAAAACTGGTTAACATTAACATACATAGATCAAAAAAGCTTATTTAAAAAAAAACTAGCAAAAATTAACTGACAAATCTCAACAGTGTAAACACCACGGTAAAAAACATGAACAAAAAATGAGAGTACTTTTAAACCAAAACCATTTTCAGTAGCAAAGCATATGGTAAAATGAAATACCAAGAAATCTCGAGATACTCAAGATGACAATAAAATACATTTTAAGTTTTACTTTCTAACATGAACTTGATATTTAAAAAATAATCTCAATGTATTATAAAAATGGGCACTTTGTGGTGAAATGAACATATACTTTAACATCTCTTTGCTCCAACATTCGGCCTAAGAAACTACAGAAGAGAACAAAACACTATTCTGATGCTTAAATCATCTATTATTGGGGTCTCAAGTGCATGTCTTTTTGACTAATTTATATATTAATACTAGAATCAAAGGATAAGATGATAACCTCAAGGTAAATATGACTGACTTTTAGAGTAATTATAAGGCTTAACAGATTTAAACACTTTTTATATGGTCAAAATTACTTATGACTTTTTAAACTGTTTAGTTTTTCTAATTATGAAATATAATGAGTAAAAAATTAGTCTCATTTCACTCTCCTTAATCTTTCTTGTAAGCTCTGAAAATGTTAGAAATGGCTGAGTCATACATGAAATTTTCTTCTAAATCTCAAAAAGTACTAACAACTGTACAGAACAGCCAAGTATGAAAAGCAGTATTTGATGTTTCATGTTCTTTCAAGTTAGAACCCAGTCCCTGATCCTTATTTCTGCATACACAGTAACTGCATATTCAGTCAAGAAAACTAACATAAGAATATATGTTTACCAAATATTTGGGTAAATTGCTGGGTAAAATATTTCAACAAAAATTTTTTTTCCTAGAAATTCATCTGAGTAAGTACTAGTGTGAGTACCAGCACCACATACAATTTTTAGGAGCACCTTTCCTTTGAGAAGCATTAAGTAGAGATATCTAAATGAAATAAACCAGAGTACCCAGTTAAGACCTTAACACATGCACAATCCCACTCAACTCTTCAAACTCATTAGAAAAGCTACATATTTGCCAGGCAACTCTTTGAGAGATAAGCAAACACTGTCTTTGGATAACACTGTTGTAATTCAGGACTACACCATATGGCTCATATTCTGGAAATGTGTTACTACTGATATCAAATCTAACACATCCCAAACTTTTATGTCTGTCCCTAAGTCATCTAAAGAGAAGATCAACTGTGTGTATAAGCATACTGGCTGGTAACATTCTTAATGACTCATGCCAAAAAGAGTAAAGTCAAATTTGAAAATGTAATGCTAACAAGTAAGTACTAAAATACTTACTAGTATACTCAAAAAATGTCTTATTCAACACGCTAATATGGATATTTTCATATTGCACACATTCAATTTAAAGCTTGTTGAAACTAAGGCAATACACCACCCATCCCTACTCCTTGGATTTTTAAATTCATTTTGGGTGACGGAAAGAATTCAGAGAATTGAAAGTTATCCTTCAAAAGTTCTTTCCAAAAGGCTTGACAGTTATGTCATACTTCAAAGAAAAACCAAAACAGAATCAACAGAATATCAATAATCTCAGTCCAATTTGACATATCCTAGCCTCACAACAAGTTGCTTTCAACTAGATGGAAGTATTTCTTACTTAGTCAAATACTGTTTGTGTTGAAGCCAAATCTGACCCAGACTGCCAAATTTAAGGCAGAAGTCATTCTGTCTATAAGTAAAGCTGCCAAGTTTAATGGGCTTTTCTGTAGATTCTTTCAAGCAAAGGATCTACTTCCCAAGTACATTTCAAGCACCAACTGAAAACAGAATTTATAGTCCATTTTAATTTACACTGGTTATATGTATTTATTTACTATAACACACAATCAAAATTTATCTAGCTATTTATGACAGTCTATTGATTAAGAACTCTTTGGAAACATCATAGGTAACTGGGCTTTTTCAAAAATTAGGTTTTTTTTTTTGTGTCAAGCAATCTCTTTCCTCTGGATTCTGAAATTTAGAAAACTGCCTTACAAAGCTTTTGTTGAGTAATAATTTCAAGGGTGCTGATAACAAAATTTGGACAGTTTTTCTTGAATCTTTACCTCAAGTGTTACACAGAGTAATTTTAATTTTTTTTCAAAAATAGGACAATTCACAGCAATTTCAATATGAAGACAATTATTGTATTTGACTTGCAAGTGAGGCTTAACTTACTCTCTCCAAATTCTAACACATCAAAGTTATTAGAATGAAAGTGATAATGAAGTGTAAGTTTTCACTTCTATGGAGATAAATGGACATATATTAACTAAATGAGCATTTTCTTTTGGAACTCAGAATATTAGAAAACAGTAACATAGTTTATTTATGTGGATATCTGCTTTAAAAAGTTAATTCCTATTCATAAATTATTAGAAGTTAAAGCAACTCAACTAGATAGTTTTCTACTTCAAAATACATTTATCTTTGGAAAGCAAGGTAACAGTTATAAAAACACTGTATTAGAAGAATAAAATGCAGTGATCCAAAATATGGTTGAACACATTCACACGTGTGCATGAATATACAGAGTGACTCAAATACATATTTATAAAGAGAATGAAAAGATACCTAAAATAGCATTTTTATATATAAAATTTTTATATTAAAATATTGCTCATAATAAATAAGAGGTGACATTATGAATTCCATTTCCCTCTTAAAAATTATTTTTAGTAGTTCAGAATAAAAGAAGCTAGTTAATCTTCTGTTGTTTTGACAGGTGAATTACATTAAAATATGTTTAATAAAATCATACTAACAGTATTTTTAAGTAGTCACATGTGGTTAAAGGTAAGAGGGGTATTTAGTACTTTCAGGAGAGATTCTCAAAATGAAGGTAAATGATTAGAAGACTAGAGTATAATGATCTGCTTTATTTGACGAAGATGTTAAATAGTGCCCTGTTTTGCAAATTTAATGACCATAAAAAATTGACCATAACTTTCTGCAAACTTTTTCAAAGCTTTCATGCCTGGCAGACCAATCAATGGTACAGCATAGGAAGTCAGTGTACTGCTGAAGTTAGTTGTTTATGGGTAGGTGTGACTTCATTCCTGTTCGTCCCACTTGCAGACATGGTAATTTGGAATAGTTCTTGAGAAGCTGTTCAATGGCAACATGGCGGACATGGAGCTCTGAGGCCAAAGAATCTTTTTCTTGCACTTGATGTGTTAGCTCTTCAAAAACTTCTGTAAAGATTTAAAAAGTAGTTTCACGTTTAGTACATAGAAAGGTAATCTTACGATTTATGTTTCAAGTACTCTGACTGAAATGAATGCATTGTGCCTGTTTTCACAATGAAACTGCACTAAGGAGACAGTTGTGCTCTCCTCCAAGCCTATTAGGTTTTTTTTATATATACAAAAAATTTATTTGAAAGGCACAGTTAGACACACACACACACACACACACTCAGAGAGAGAGAGAGAGAGAAAGAGGTCTTCCACATGTTGGTTCATTCCCCAAATGACCACAATGGTTAGGGGTGGGCCAGAACAAAGCCAGGAGCCAAGGAGCCAGGAGCTTCTTCCATATCTCCCATGTGGGTACAGGGGCCCAAGGACTCAGGTCACCTTCTGCTGCTTTCCCAGGCAATTAGCAGGGAGCTGGATTGGCAGTGGAGCAGCTGGGACTCAAACCACTGCTCATATGGGATGCAGCCTTGCAGATGCTGGCCCAAAGTCTATCAGTTTTGATCATCCTCCTGGCAGTGGAATATCTCATCCTTTTCCATTAAGTGAAACTTAAAAGATCCATAAGCAATGATTACAGAGATGCACAGCACAAATAGTGGTTACCACTATAGCTAAGCCACTTCTTAATTAGAATCTGTAATTAGGGTCAATCAATATTTAGTATGACTTATAAATAAGACTTGTCAATTAGTATCAGGTTTACAAAACCTTTCTAAGAGGATTTGGAATCAGATTATCTGAATTTTTGAATCCTTCTACCTAGTTTTAGTCATCTCAGGCAAGTAACTTACATAACTATTACTATTATCATTATGAGAAGATGTAGTCAAGAACAATCACTAGTTTTGCAGTTAAAAAGTCAGGGACTCTTCATCTACTGGCAACTTAATGTCTCTGAAGTGCAATTTCCTCATTTAAAGGGGAATAAATTGTTAAGAAAAGGAGGCAACTGGAGAATTTATACACTGTTAACAAGGGCATCATATTTTATGATGATAAGGAATTATTTTGGGGCATGATAATGAGATTGTTTTACAGGAAATTTTGAAGACTTATGGGTAAAATAGTATGTTGCCAGGGACTGTTTCAAAATAATCCATGCTGGGGTTGGGGGTAGGGGAGGGATGAATACAAGTAAAGGGGAAGAAAAATTAGCTAAATTGGGTTAAGCTACCGTAACCTGAGACACCTGTATTCCATATCAGAGTGCTGGTTTGAGTTCTGGCTGCTCTGCTTTCAATCTAGCTTCCTACTAAGTAATTCTGGGAGGCAGCAGATGATGGCTCAAGTGCTTGGGAATCTTCTGCCCACACAGGAGACCTGGATGGAGTTCCAGACTCCTGGCTTCAGCCTGGCCCAGGTATTATAGGCATTTGGGGAATGAACTAGAGGATGGAAGATCTCTCATATCCTTTCTCTCTCTCTCTCTGTTGTTCTGCCTTTCGAGGAGATGAGAATGAATAAACATTTTAAAAAACACAGGACATTAAAAAAATTAGCTATGCTTTTGACAACAATTAAAGCTGGTAAAGATGTGCCAAGGTTTCATTATACTAGTCTTACTACTTTACTATGTGTTTAAACTTGTTCATAATTAAAAACAAAACAAAACAAAACACCAACAACAAAAAAAAGAGCTATTATCTTCTACCTAAAGACCTGTTTGGGAGCACACCAGCACAGTGCGGGGTATAATAGTAGTAGTAGAGTCAATAAAATGCTATGAAGAGGTAGACATTAATCATAGTCTTAACTTAGAAAAGAAAAATGGGTTTCTCCTTCAGTTCACAAAAAGTTGTTCTCTTATTTTTGCCCTGGAAACTCTAATAAACTACAAAAATCTCATTTTTAAATTTAAATGGTACTGAAGCCAAGGGTGCTCTGTCATAGATTTCTGGCATCAAAATTTTCACATGCAAAAAAAACTAAGATTGACTCTTTACCTTGGATTTGCTGTTGGAGCTTTGCATTCAGTTGTTCTACCTCACCAAAAGTCATCGAATTCACTGAAACACAAAAATATATTTATTGTTACCCCCACAACCTGGGGAAACAGACTCTGCATCACTAGTACAATGTCCTATGAAAAATTTTTTCCCACTTTTCTGCAACAAAACATTCCGAAGTACCCTAGGACTAACTAATTTTCAAAGTGAAGTTTTCTTTTACAAAGGAGAAGTTTTCAAGTCCTAATTACAACCCACAGGAGAAAACAGGTATTACCTGTTTCTCAATACACCACCAGTCTCCACTTGAAAGTTTCAAGCAAAAACTATGTAGTAGTGGGTCTGCTGGATTCTGGTTATCTCCTATTCTGTCTTAAACAAGTTCAATCACTACCCATTAAATTGGTAATTGACTGAGCATCACATAGTTCATGACTGGTAGTTTGAAAAGCACTACATGAAAGTACTGTGGTAAGTCTCCAAAAGTAACTTTTCTACCTAGTCTTACGACCATAAATAATTCACTGTACAGTCAAGAAATTGTGTGAAAAGATACTCAAGGGTTTTTTTTTTTTGGCTCTAATATTTTATTTAAAATTACCTAAGTTTCTTTGAGTTTTTGTAGAAATAGGCATAGAGAGAATGAGTCCTTATTTTTTCACTTTAATGTAAATGCACGAATTACCTTTGGCCTCAGATTTTGCCTTTGAAATGCCTCCCCCACCCTGTGCACCACACTCCCCTCAACTGGTTTTCTAGGAATGTGCAAATTTATAACATGACAATGAAAACTGGCCATTCAATAGTTAGGCCTGCACTTCTAAACTATATGAATCCTAAACATTTCAGTTAACAGTTTGTTGATTCCAGTCAGTTTAATCACTTAAAATGGGCAAATGATGCAAATACAGAACTTCAATGCTTAGGAAATATTCAGGAGTATTCCAGAGAATGTATGGTGAGTTTTAAGACATCTCATTTTTGCCAAGGTGAACTTATCATTTAATTACTATGGTTACTACTAAATCTACATCAAAATTCTAGACACATCACACATAATCAAACAGCAACAACACATCCCAATACTCAAACTACTCAATGTTTACCTTTCTTCTCATTTTACTTACATTCCTCTCTGCTGTAATGTAGATGCTGAGTTTGGACATCAGCCTCTGGATTAGAGATGGTCTCTTCTTTCTTCTGTGCCTGGGTACGCCCATGAGGCCACAATACATTGTTATGGCATATTGTGGCACCTGCGTCTTGTAACATAGCAAGCCCAAAGTCTGTATGTTCCCTCTGATCCAAAATTCTTTGAGTGCAGTTTGAATTGCCACCTGTACTTCCATCTATCCATTTTGCAGAATACTTTGGTACTTGGGAATCAAACTGTGGGAGTAATTTTTTATCTGGCTTATGCCTGAAATTAAACAGATGATGTTGAGGGGTTTTAGAACATTCAGAATCCGAATCCAGATCCTTATTTTGTGCATACTGAACAATCCAGTTTATTTTCTTACTGAAAATAGTTTTAACTTCTTCATAAGTACTTTTTGAAAGCTTAGATCGAGGACAATCCTGGTTTGCAATTAAATGGTATTTTTCAAAGCAGTCTTTATGGCCCCTTAATGATTTGGTGTGTAAGAGATTAGATTTTGGTACTCCTAAAGGAAAAAGAAAAAAGAAACAAAATATAAGAAAATTTTATGCTTTTTTAAAGTTACTTTAAGAATTTATGAATCTTAGTAAAACACAAGTCCTTGAGTTTACAAATTAATGGAAAAATATTAAAAAATATTGGTATTAATAACATGTGACCCAATAATCTATTTAAATTTAATGATATAGTTAATAATATTAAATTCTTATGGATAAGAATGCCTTTCTAAAAACTTAATGATTCAATTTTAATCTTCTCCATAGACATGTCATTGTATATAGTATGAAAAATACTACTAAATCCAGCAATTTATCCTTATAGACTCTTGACCTTTATTTTATAGTGTTTTCTTCACTAATGCTCCTAAAGTGCATACTTGCAAAAATTCTATTATTGGGCTCAATAACAAATGCTCAACAGTTTTGTTCCCAACAAAAATTCGGTAAATCATGTTCTTGAATATCAGTTATCTTTTCACTGGGTAAAGATACCAGAACTGGAAAATTATACACTAATAAAAGTACTAAGAAGTCAACAAGCTGCTTAGATTTATTTTAAGAAAATGAAAGTGACTATTTTTCACATTTCCACTTTACACATACTAAAATAGAATACAATTTTGATAGTTTTTATCTTCTACAAGAAATGTATTACACACCACTATTTTTCATACAGTGACAAATTCAATTTGCCAAATAGCTAATATAATTCCTCAACTCACTGGTTGATATTTTGATTATCTACCTAAGTACAAGGAATATTCACATTACACTTTTAATACCTCAACTTCTTAGCAGAGTTTAACTATGTTATCACAATTGTTTTTTAAAACATAGGACATATTTTCAAATGTATAATAATTTCAAAATGTAAAATACATTCATAAATTTTCATAAGTTTAAAATAAATCATTAAAGTAAAATTATAAGCACTGCTTTAAAGGTGACTGAAGGTGATTTAAGAATGTGGAGTAGAAATTGCACACCTGTCAGAACAAATCAGTCTAAATCTGTACAACTCTGAAAAAGGAGTAAGCAGGGAGACCCACCCAAATGTCAGATTGTAAAAAAAAAAAAAAAGAAAAAGAAAAAAGTAGTTTTAGCTGACACATTAGGAAAAAAAGAATTTTGTATTTATCTTTTGCTTTAGAAATTCAAGTAATAGTTTTATTAATTCCAAACTGGCTAATAGTAAGATAATAAACTATCTCTACCTTAATGAAATCAGATACAAAACTGCTTGGAAATGTTAATTTGTTCTAAAAAAAATACAGCCATCAGCCAATGATGGGAGTTAGTGAAACTGTTTTTTGTCAACCAATTCTCTCACAAGCTACAGTAAGGTTTGTGAGCATACCTCCTGAATATTAATAAGTATATATAAACAATTGCTCTCACAAGGTAAACTCAAACATTTGAGCTTTGTTTATTCCAGTAAGCATAAAAATTGTTTAAGACCTAAAGCAAATTTCATACATATTTTATTTACTACTTTGCTACCTGTACTATATTATGTGAATGCATTTCTCTCTACTACTTAACTGTCTGACTTGGTCAAATTTCTAACAACATTACACTATTTAAATGCAGTCTCAAAACTCCATTGAAAAAAAGTATACATTTCACAAAGGTAAATTAACATAAAAAGGATATTTATAAGTCTGGGTTACTGAAATAAAAATATTAATGATAAATAAAATTATTAACAATTCTATGTTTTAGATTACAAATTAAGACAAAAAAGGAATTATCATAGGATCAAGTTTCCTTCTCTGGACACAGGTAGGCAGATAGGTCTTGAAATTTGCTTACTTTGCCAACTGGAAAGTTTATTGAAGAACTTCTTTACTTTCTGTAAACTCCTATAGGTCTCCTTGTCAACAGATGGCCAGCTAATCCCTTGAAATAGTAAATAGTCTCATTTTCACACCACTGCACAGCTCTGATGTGCAGCAATGTTTTAACTGAATTTGAATATAGGAAATTATAAGTTTCTTTTCATTCTACATGAAAGCAAATACTCTAGCATATACAAATATTCTAAACTAGGGTACAGAAAGTAACTTTATCGTTACATTTTATAGATTTTTGGTATTTATATAAACTTCAGAAATTGTATCAAAAAAGACAAAAAAGTAACAACTAATGAAACTGCCACATCTACTATGAGAATGAAGACCATTCTCAGCACTCAGACTCTTGACAGTCCATAAAACATCAACATCAATTTGAAGGGGCTCACAGTTATTGGGATGGGCCCAGAGGAACGCTGTGGAGGGACTTCAATGACATCTGTGTAGAACTCAGCCTCCTTGGAAAGAAAAAGAGGTTCTTGGTTGACCAATGGTGGGAAAACAAAAAGGAACTGGCAACTGTTCGCACCATCTGTAGTTATGTACAGGATATGATCAAGGGGGTTACACTGGGCTTCCGTTACAAGATGAAGGCTGTGTGTGCTCACTTCCCCATCACCGTGGTTATTCAGGAGAATGAGTCTCTTGTTCAAATCCAAAATTTCTTGTGCGAAAAGTACATTCAAAGGGTTCAGATGAGGCCAGGTGTTGCTTGTTCAATACCTCACACCCAGAAAGATGAATTAGTCCTTGGAGGAAATGACACTGAACTCGTTTCAAATTCAACTGCTTTGATTCAGCAAGCAACAACAGTTAAAAACAAGGATATCAGAAAAATTTGAGATGGTGTCTATGTCTCTGAAAAAGAAACAGTTCAGCAGTCTGATGAATAAGATCTAAAAGTTGTCTGGCTACAGAAACAAGAATGCAGATTCTGTCTTGTGGTATTTTAATAATACAGTAAAAGATCTATTGATTTGAGACTTCAAAAAAAAGGTGACAACTAATAAAATTAATGACTAATTTTTGGATGTATACCAGAGTTTCAGTAACAGGTCAAAATATCATAAATATCTGAATAATAATGTGATCTTTTAAAGACTTTTTTTTTTTTAATCCCAATGTTGCTTCTTAATGACTAAATTAACTTTCCTTCTCCTGGAATAATTTCTCCTAACCTTTATTGAAACCCTCAAATCAATCACTGGAACCAAGATAAGACCAAGACTATATGCATGTAAGCAATCTACTGAGAAGAACAGCAAATCACTATATAATAGTCAATTTACGGGCCGGCGCCGTGGCTCACTTGGTTAACCTCTGCCTGCAGCACCGGCATCCCATATGGGTGCCAGTTCTAGTCCTGGTTGCTCCTCTTCCAGTCCAGCTCTCCGCTGTGGCCCAGGAAGGCAGTGGAGGATGGCCCAAGTGCTTGGGTCCCTGCACCCGCATGGGAGACCAGGAAGAAGCACCTGGCTCCTGGCTTTGGATCAGCGCAGCGCCGGCCGTAGTGGCCATTTGGGGAGTGAACCAACGGAAGGAAGACTTTTCTGTCTAATTCTATCCGTCAAAATAAAACAAACAAACAAAACAGTCAGTTTAAAATAAATTTCAAACTCTTAAGTCATTTAGAAGGCAGAAGACATGAAAAAAAGTGTCATAAGCAAGAAGAGTTGTGAACATACATTTAGTACAGCAATCTATTGGAAATTTCCACCTAGATGTGTCTATGGGCCCCTTAAACTCATCCTGCATAATGAAACTCTTCTTCCTCCATTCTCACCACTCAGACCCCAAACCTGATTATCTTACTCAATCTGGCAACAACTGTTCAAGCAAGAAATCCAGATACTTTTCTTGAGAGCTCTTCTCTCTAATTTGATGTTTTCCAGTTCATTTAATAGATATTTTTGCATAAATTCTAGTACCTACAACATCTTAAATGTGCTTCATCCCATCACCATTTCCACCACAGATTTGGGTCACTGTCAACCATGCCCTGTCTAGTTCTCATTGCTCCAAGAAGCCTTCTCCAAACAATACAATAAGCTGGGTTAGTTTATCACACCAGATTTTACAACTGCCTCTGGCCTGGCCTTTTATCTCCTGCTAGAAGTTCTGCTGAAAAAGAGACACATAGAGCGGACACTGTGCAGTAGCGGGAAAAGCTGCCACTGCCTGCAGTGCAGCAGCCCATATGGGCGCTGGTTCGAGTCCCAGCTGCTCCTCTTTTGATCCAGCTCCCTGTCAATGGCCTGGGAAAGCAGTAGAAGATGGCCCAAGTCCTTGGGCCTCTGCACCCACATGAGAGACCTAGAAGCAGCTTCGGGCTCCTGGCTTCAGATCAGCTCAGCTCTGGCCGTTGCAGGCATTTGGGAGTAAACCAGTAGATGGAAGATCTCTCTCCCTCTCTCTCTCTGCCTCTGCCTCTCTAATAATAAATAAATCTAAAGAAAAGAAAAAGGAATACATGTCCCTTAGTCACATGCATTCTCAGTGTCACGGTGCCTGGCATATGGTGGTTACTCAGGAAAAAGTCAATTAAACACAGAAAGGAAAAATTAAAACTACATTTAAAAAAGTCAAACCCAAACCTTATTATCAATTATCAGTCAAGGTCTATTGCAATGCAGTTTTGCCCATCCTAGCGAGGGAACCAGGATGCACAGTTCTGCCAGATGCTCAGTGGATAATTAACGGTATCTTTCAGTGATCATTCAATCTCCCAAGCAAAATCATCAACTTCTACTGAACTATACATTTTTAAAGTAGAAACATACATATCGTAGTATATATAAAAGGCAGCTTTTATTTAAAGTGTAAGCTCATTCGTCCTGATCTAGAACTTTGTTAGCTACGTCTCATACTAAAATTTTAAGACTTGACTAAATTTTAGTTCAATTTGAAATGACTTATTTCACAAATATACTTTAAAATATCCATGCAGTAGCAGAAAAAAACCTGAAAAATATATTATTTCACATAGTTGAACAATTTATTTTTAAAAAAATTTATTTATTTTGAAAGTCTGAGTTACAGAGAGAAAGGCAGAGGCAGGGAGAGAAAAAGATCTTCCATCCACTGGTTCACTCCCCAAATGGCCGCAACTGCCAGAGCTGAGCCAGGCCAAAGCCAGGAGCTTCGTTTTGGTC